GACGCTGGAAGACTCAGGGCGGCTCCGCTTCCGCCTCCGCCGGGGGTGGGGCCCGGCGCTCACGCCACTTCCGGGAGCGCAGGAAGTGCGTGTCTCCGCGGAGGTCACGGGGCCAGCGCAGCCAATCCCCTCGCGGGCCAGTTGCCCGGCAACGCCCGAGTCCGGCCGCCCCGCTGCGTGTCTCGCCCGCAGGGCGTTCGCGGCCCGTGGCCAACTGGTTCGGGCACCGCTTCCGTCCGCAGAGCAGAGCGGACGTGACGGGCGGAAGGGGCGCCACTCGGGCACGTTTAATTCTTGCGTCTAAACAAAGTCGTGGAAGCGAATGTGACTGAGGAAAGAACGCCTTCGTGACCCCCTCGTGCTTCTCTGGATTTCCCAGCCCCGCTTCCTCAGTCAGGCCACCTGCGCCCTTTGCCCGGGCCTCACCAGCGGCTCTCCATGCCTGTGGACCAGGGACCCCATCATGCTCCCGGCCAGGGTGTCCCCTTCTGCCGGTGACAGTGACCGCCCTCATCTAGACACTGAGATGCGACGCAGCGTTTTTAGCGACTTCCCCGCTTTAGGACACTCGCATGGTCCCGGTGTCAGCCAGCCTCGCCCCTCCCGCCCCGGTCTGGGTCAGGACGCAGGATCCATTTCTGTCAGTTCATAGAGTGTTCCAGCCTCGCTGGTTTTTAAATTCTTGATTCAATGAACGCTGACTTGTTTCATCCTCAGAGCCGGGAAGCATTTCTTGCGGCAAAAACCGACCTCGCTGCTTGCGAGAACTCCCAAGGCCCCGGAGCCAAGGACCTGGCCTTTTACCGAGGCACCCGAGACGGCTCTCGGTGGATGCTGATCCATTATTCAGCAGCGCGCTGGGCACAGCTGTGGATCTGACCCTCTGTCTTTCTTCCAACTGTTAACCCTCTGACCCACTTTTTCTCACTTGACCATGGGGCTACCTTGCTTCAGAGTTCTTTCAGGTTCTTCAAAGAAATTAAGATATTCTGTGACCTTGGAAATCCTAATCTGCAGACCTCTTCCACAATGTGGACGTTTTCTCATGACAGTGACTTCAAGTAGTTTTAGTTTTCTCACAGTCCCTTCCGGATTTTCCACCGCTCTTTGATCTGTAGTTTCTGAAATCCATCTTTCTTCTCTCTCCCATCTCTCTCCTTTTTTGTTCTCTAGATAGTAAGTTTGTAAGTTTC